GGCTGCGGGGGCTGGGCTGTAGGCAGTCTGGCTGTCTGCCCATCATGGAGCAGAGTTCTAATACATTCTTTCATTGTTGGGGTAATAGGACTGTGTCACTCCCTACTACAGGACATACCTCTTAAGTTTCCATAGGGGCAAATACATGCCACCAACTCCTCATAATAATGCACATTGGGTAGATTTTTTTTTTGCAATAAACCAATAGGGTTACCTTACATAATGAAAGACTCAGCAGTCAGAGGGGCCCTGGCTCCTAAAAGTAAACAGGGTAAGCACTTCTTTAAATTTTCTACAAATAGGAATCTCTACTCTGAAATAGAGAATAATGTTAAGCTGAACCTGATGTACCAGGGACTCTTATCATGCAGGAACAATATTTTGGTGAAGTACTATCTTGCTGGTAACCAAGCAGATAACCACATACCTTCTGCCAGGTCTTAAAAATCCTCAGCACTTCTCAATAATATGGGCAAATCTAGTAACCACATTGTTTTGCATGTGAAACCTTCCTAAGAGTGTATATCAATAATACCTTAATAAAAAAAGAAAATCCTCAGCACCTATTTTCTGAGAGGTAGGCATCATTCCTTTAACTTCAGCATGTCCCCAGCTCACAGAATCTAGCTTCTGATCACAATAGCACAGGTATTTTCCTTAATCATTATGCTCTGAAAAGCAGGTATTTGTTACTTCCCAAAAGACAAACCAGTCACCCCTGTATCTTGAAGCGGACCTTTAAAAGGGTTTTGGAAGCTCATTTATTACCAGGCAATTCTAAGATTGATGGAGAGAGGAATGGAATATTCATATTTATTCCTCAAGTTATTTCTTGAATCCCTATAGTGTGAAAAATCTTTGCTCAAGACATGAGGACACTTAATACAAAGATGAATAAGATATCTGCATTCAGAGGAAGAGAGAGAAAAATTGTTGTAATTCCAGGTAGAGCGTGTAGTGTGCTCTAAAAGAGGTGGGACTCCTAAAAGGGATGACATCCCTTTTGATGGGGAGGATTGAACCTCAGCTGATGGTAAGATTTTCGATATACAGAAATAATCAGAGGGTGGGAGTGAGACGGAAGAACAGTCTAGGCAAAGAGAAAACTATGAATTAAGGCACAGGGCTGGGATTGTCCGGATATGCAGTGACCCAACTTGCCTAGCGAAGTGTAATATAAGGAAGTAGTGGACTGTAAGGATGCTGAAGTAGGTTGGATTCAACTCAGAGAGAGCTTTGAATGCCATGTAACTGAGTCACTATTTTACACTTTAGGTGGAAGGCAGGGTGAACACAGAACTTATTATCTGGACTGGAACAATTTTGAAAAGAAAGGTGGCACTGTTATCACTTATGCCGATAACCTGGTACTGTCTTTAGTAAACTCGGAGCTGTGGTCACACTAGTGTTTGGGAAACTCTGCAAAGAGAAGCTTTGATTGAGAGGGGACCTCAGAGACTTCATTTCAGAGAACAGGCACTCGGCATGGCGGTGGGGGCAGGTAGGCCTAGGAGTTTGGTATTAGTTTCACATAGCTGCCATCACAAAGTACCCCAAACTGGGTGCTTAACACAATAGAAATATATTCTTTCATGGTCTGGAGGCTAGAAGTACAAAATCAAGGGGTTGGCGGGGCTATGCTCCCTGCAAAGGTCCTTGGGGTGGGTCCTTCTGGCCTTCCTCCTGGCTTCCAGTGTTGGCAGGAGTCCTTGGTGGTCCTTGGCTTGTGGACGCATTGCCACAAATGCTGCCTTCTAGGCGGTTCTCCTGGGTCTTTGCGTGCCCTTCCCCTGCACGTCTGCCTCTGTGTCTCTTCTCTTAAAAGACACCAGTCATACTGGACTAAGGTCCTAGGAAGATCTCCTACCAACTTAATCACATCTGCAAAGACCTCATGTCCAAACACAGTCATGTTCTGAGGTTCTGGGATGGATGTGAATCTTTCAGAGACACTCTTCAACCCACTACAAGTACCAAACAGGAACTCTGAATGCATGGAAGATAGCTTGGCAGGAGGCCGCAGAGGGGCAGCGGGGGAGGGGGGGGGGAGTGGAGCACGTGGGCATTTTGCTTACTTGAGCGGCCTTCTTGCAGAGCCCAGAGGGGAGAAGATTGCCCACCATAGGCCACCCTGCTTCCACCCAAATTTCCCAAGCGTGGACTCCTCTCTTTCCTCCTTCTGGATGAAGGGAAGATGTTTCATATTAGATATCGAACCAGACTTCATACTGGGAGATGGTAGTTCAAGTCATGACTCAGCTACTTTTACCTTTGCCTTGTCACACAAGTTATATGATTTCTCCTCTGTAAAACAGGGATGTGAAGGAGGAGCAGTAAAGGTCCTCTGGCTCTGTAAGCTTTGGGTTTAGGAGGAAAAGGCAGAACTGTGCTCCCCTGCCCCTGTTAAGAGGATAGAATCTCAGTAAGACCCTTGCCATCACCGTTTTTAAACAAGTATGTCTATCAGATAGTGTTTGTGCTCTCAACAGAAACTGGTTATCTTGAGCACAAAGGGGGCTTATTAGAAGGCAACCAGGGGCTGACACCAGGAACAGTCTGGCCTAGGTACCCCACTAGGTGGATTTAATCCCCTTCCTCTCCCATGGGCTCTGTATGTTTGCATTTCTTGGTCAAGGGTCAGAGTCCTGGGCAAGAGCTAGTTCACAGTCTCAGCCATGGGCGTACCTCTCAGCTGTGTTGGGTGTTAAGCAGGGATAAGATTTCCCCCAAAGGGAGACTGAGTTGCCAACAGAAGGAAGAGTTGGATGGTGGACAGCCAAGAAGAGAGTACATGCTTATAGCCAAGAAGTATTTGGAATTCAGCCAAGCATGGAGGTTTTAATAATATATTTAGTTACTACTATCTCTAAAGTTGTTGCTGTATTATATTGTTATCACTATTATTTTAACTTAGTGGTTAAGTACTCATGTTCTGGACCAGGCACTTTTGTGCACTATTTCATGCAACCTTCACAACTATTTGATAAAGGTAATAATAAAACCCACTCCGTCACCCCTATGTCCCTTTACAAAAGTGGAAATGAGCTTACTACTGAGAAACTTGGTTAAGGTCGCACAGCTATATGAATTGTCAGAACCGAGATGCCAGCCCTGCCAGACTCAGCTGCCCGGGGTCTTCATGGTGTCCCCTGCAAGGGGTCAGCTCAGCCCATTGCTAGCTTAGTGCCCACCAGTCCTGCTGCACAGCCTCAGGCTTACAGACAGTAGCTCCATACTCCCATCTATTCTGCACCTTCTGAAGGGGTGGAAAATGAGAGAGGATGGGGTTGAAAAGTTTGCATCTTTTCTAATTAATTACCACTTGTTATTGTCACTAATCTCTTGTCCATTCTATTTGAGTCTATATTCACTGTGATATTTGAGTTGCATTTAAATCGGGGTAACAATAATGGAGGGGTTTATGAATAAATCCAAGTAAGTACTAAAGTTGACAATGGTTTGGTGACTCACACAACAAATGACATCAACCTTATGTTATTCAGTCATAAAAACCGATGGAATCATCTGACAATCCAATTTTTAAAGTACTAGTGGAGATTTTGTTTCACTGGTGAATATTGTATAACAGACATTTATAGGAATTAAGATCAATGCCTGGAACTTATTTAACTAAGAGCTTTATTGAGGTGTAATTCAGATATATATTCACACTTGAGCAACTTCAAGACCTTTTTCTCCGGAGCTGTTTCCTTTTTTTAAGGTCGTGACTGTTCAAGAAATACCATTTTTAAAGCCAATTATAATTCTCGTTAGATTTTAATGATACTTATCTTTAATTACTTTTCGTCAAAAGAGAAGTTCTCCTGTCGACTCAGTGACAAAAACCAAATTTGCTCTCACCGCCCTGCCTTAGCGGCACATTCAGCCCGTTTCCAAAGCACTGAGTCAAGTTACCACCTCGTAACTTCACGCCACATCCCCTTGGAATTCAGCAGCGCAGTGAACTGTCACCTGAAGAAAAGGACGCTAAAAAGCCGATGTCAATGGAAAAATGGGTGGCTTGAAACAAGGAACAAGTTTTCTTTTTAGAAACACACTTTACGCCCCAGCTGAGCAAGGCGCAGCTGGAGGCCCGCGGGGCCGGCCGGGCGGCGCGCAGGTGCGCCCCTCGCCGTGCGGGGCCCCCGCGTCGCGGCCCGGGAGGCGTCCTCTCCGCCGCCGCGGCCTCGGCCGCCCGCGCGGGCGCAGGGAAGGGCCGGCCTGGCGGGCGGGGGGCTCGGCGGGACCCCACGCCCGGCGCCCCCCGGACCCCGCCGCCCCCGCCGAGCAGGGGCGCGGGGCCCCGGCTCCTCCGCGGCGCCGCCGCGCGCCCCTCCTGCAGGAGGGGGAGGAGGAAGGCGGCGGGGGAGGAGCTGCGGGAGAGGAGGGCCGAGCGCGCCAGTCGCGCCGGCGCTGGGCGAGGAAGCGGAGCGGGCCGCCGCCGGGTGAGCGTCCGCGGGGCCGGGGCGGAGGCTGGGGCCGGGCTCCGCCGGCCGCGCCCGCTGCCCCCGCCGCGCCGGCCGCCGGCCGCGGGGGCCCCTCTTCTCCGCGGGCGGCGGGGCCGGGGCCGGGTCCGCTCAGCGCCGCGGCCGCCCTGGGTCCCGGGCGCGAGGCCCCGGCGGGTCCGCGGGCGGGGGTCCGGCCGGCGGGGTGCGGCGCGGCGTCCGGGGCCGAGCCGGGGCGGGCGGGGAGGCCGGGGCCTGCTTCCGCGCGCGCCGGCCCGACCCCCGGCCTCCCCGCCCGCGGCGCGCCGGCCGGGCCTCCGCCTTTGTTGCCCGCAGCCCGCCCGGGAGAGGCCGGGGCCCGCGAGGCCTGGGCGGCGGCGCGGGGCCTGCGCGCCTCTGCCCCCCGCCGGCCCGTCCCGGGGCGCGCGTCCCGCGGGGGGCGGAGTGGGTCCGGGCCGCGCCGCCGCCCGCGCCCCCGGGGGTCCCCACGGCCGGGCCCGGGCCGCGAGCGCGTGGAGGGGCTGCTGGACGCCCAGGCACCCGCCGGAGGTGGGGCTTGTGGATTCACGCCGCCCCGGAGCCGGGACGGGCCTTTCTGCCAGTTCGCTGAAGGAGTTGGCAACTTCAGGGACCCCGTTGGGGCTCGTCATGTAGCAAAACTACTGACATTTCTCAGGGGCAGGTCCTGGCACACAACTTGGAATGTGTTCCTAAGCTGTGCGCCAGTGGAGCATGTAGTCGGCGTGTGGAATGTGGGGTCCCCGTCCCCCCAGGTGGGCATATGTGCTGGGAATCCGGCTCCGGGTAGTGCAGGGTGCAGGGTTGAATAGTGCTGGACAAAGTCCCTTGACCGCCTACCCTGTGGGGCCCAGTCCTCTGCGTGAGGACGGACAGCATCGTGCTCAGGACAGTGATGAGAACGCGACCCACGTTTCCCGGATACCCTTTTAATTGTGTTCCTTGGAATAAAGATACATTTGTAATAAACAAAAGTAAGCTGCCATCTACTTCAGGATAAAACATCTGAGGTGTTCTGAACCATAGCAGGCATAAATGTATCTTGACTTTTTTTTTTAACCCAGCAAAAACGACAACATGAAATCCATTTAGCTTACTTGAATGAATAAATTTTAAATTAAATAAGTTAGTGCTGAGGAGGGTCAGTGTTACTTAAAGACATAACTGGCGTTTTTACCAAGTTTCACAGATAAACCCAAAACTCCAGGGGTACGTTCCCTGGGGCTCTCTTGCTCTTTTCTCTCTCTGTTTTGTACCCCCTGGGTTTTGTGTTTCTCCGCCCTGCTGCATGGCCTGCTGTGCTTATGGCAGGTTTCACAATCTACCCCTGCTTTAAACAAAGTATGTGGCCGGGCTCTTTGGTTCCAGCACCCTTCCTGATGTTTTTTTGTTGCCGCTGGGGAAGCTGGCTCACTGACCATGGGCTTGATAAGTAGTCTAAGGAGAACTTACTTGAGTTTGGCAAGTGCTTTCCACTATTTGGCCTGGCTAAGCATCAGCTGCCTTGTTACACACCTGCTTTATCCTAGTTAGGGCTGCCTTCAGGATCTCTTGAAACACTCAACTCCTTTCCCTCTTTATTATCATCTTTAAATTCTTTCTGAGTGGTGAGAAGCACCTGCCCTTTTCCTGGGGGGTGGTGGGTGCACAGGCAGGCCTTAAACATGGCCTTCACGGGACCCAGGGCACACCTGGTGTGACACCGGCATGTCACCTGGCACCCTCCCATCTCAGCACCTTGCGAGGGGTGGCGCAGAAGGGGCTGGGTGTCACCAGTCGCGGCTGTGCCAAGACCTGGGGAGGCTCTGCTGTACTGATGGAATTCCTACTCTTTTGCTGTCCCTAGTGTTCCTGTTAATGGCCCTCATTTTAGGGAACAAGAAGCAAGTAGCTTCTGAAGACTGTCTTGTAACTTCACTCCTCAGAGAAAACTGGTAGTTTCTCCACTGTGGTCAGTTTTCAGGAAACTTTTTTGTCATTAATAGTAAGTGTCTTTTACTTTGCTCACAGAAATAATTGTGTGATCTTACTTAAATTGATAATACTCTGAAAAAAAAAAGGAAATGTTATCTCCATTTCCAAACTTGTGGTAACTAGTGTTACTAAAATTTTAAAAATATGCAGTCCTGGTAGGTGGGTTGATACACAAATATGTGTATGTTGAAGGTCAAATACCCCATACTATTTATACTCTAGTATAACTCATGGATATCTGTGCATCTTTTAATATTCAATAAGACCAGATAGGTAAACGACCTAGAGCTAAGATGACCTTTGGCTGTTTTGTTCCTTGCATTGTTTATGGGAAGTGAAGATTGTTTCAGTTCTCTGTCCTCCCTAACTCTTCCTATTTTTGAAATGGCACATAAGTGGTGCCTGTGTACTTTTGTAAAATAACGCCTTTTATAAGGAAGAAATTTATAATACCAGTGTGCATCGTAAGGAGAAACTTTCTTGGGTGACTACCTTGATGGAAAGAGTTGTCCCTGTGGGAAAGGAGAAACAGCAGTGGAACATGTTTTAAGTTGTATTGAAAGTGAACTTGTCATTACTGTTCTATGGCTAATTTATTACGCTCTGTGTCATGTGATCCTTATGGGTTTAGCCAACAAGTAGTGACGACTTTAGGACTGAGGGCACATTTTCCTTTAAACGGACTTCAGGGTCTTTGATGGTGCCTACAAACATTACATATCACTTAGCTGGGACAGTTGTTTTTAAGTGGCTCTTGGTCTTGCAGATGTTTCAAGAATAGACAAAGTCATTTAAGATTTCAGTTCTCATTGCACACAGGACATCTCAGAGGTGTCGATCTTCAGGAAAGAGTATGCTAGCTCTGTGACCTTGAATGCATTTTATATCCCCTCTGAGGAGTCTTACGCCTCATATGGGGCTAAAGTGAGAATAATAATCCATCTGACAGACCTGTTGTGAGTATGTATTTTGTTTAAAGTAAAATCCAAACTCTTTACTATTGGCTGTGAGATTTCTGCCGGGTTCTTCAGCTTGTCTCGGACAACCTTCTCTGCTTTGCCCACGTTAGCTTGCAGCCTTTCTTTTCCTCAGCCTTCCAAGTTGCCTCTGGCTTCCTCACCTTTGACACGGTAGTTCTCTGCCCAGAATGTTCTTCAGTGGCTCTCCCTATGGTTGGTTCACTCTCAGATCTTAATGCACACGTTAATGGGTCTTGCAGTCAGTTGGTGGGAGATCTAGAGCAAGAAAGGCACTACCTTTGGCCTCTGCAGAGCCCCATGTCCTTTCATACTGTTTAATACCATTGTATCACTTAACAGCCATCACACTGACATCTTTTCTTAAAATTATTAAAAGGGCATCATCACACTTGGAGACTATGTTTGGGGAGCGGTGGCTATCCCACTGTCCCCAGGAGCGGATTTTTGAGTAGCAAGGAAGAAAGAAAGAAGAAAAGGCTAAATATCGCTGAAGGCCTGGGAGACAATTATCTGAGCATCAGGGAACCCAGAAGGTGTCACCACCACAGAGAAGCCTTCCCTGACTGCTCCTCCTCATAGCTCCTACAGTAGTACCAACTTAGTGACTTTCAGTGTTTCCATCGTAAAGTTTTATTACTGTCTGTAACTTCTGTTTACTCGTTTCTGGTCTGTTTCTCTATTCAGGTTCCATGTAGGCAGGGTGTGCTCTGTGGTCTTTATCCTGTGTCTCCCTAACACATCCCATGGGGCCGGGCCACTCAGCAGGGACATAGTGTATGGAATGTGCTTACAGTTTTGTCATCTACACATTAGAAACAAAAGTGTTCTGTGTAAATTTTAGAAATCTGTTGTTTTTTTGTGTTGCTTATTTATCCCTGTGTGAGCGGATCCGCTCAGCTGAATAAATTGTAGCATTAACAAGGTGGAAGTCCTTGTAGCTACATGTCCCAGGTAGCCCCATATAGAGAGAGGCGGCTCCACCTGTGGCACATGAGTTCACTCACACACCCAGCTGGCTGAACAGGAAGATGCCCAGGCCTTTCTCAACCTTTGAAGTATCTGTAGCATGTGGCGAGTAACCTATCCGAAGCACATTTCCCCTGGTGTTAGCTTATGTGGCTTAGTAAGGTAAGACCTCAAGTACCTGAGACCTTCTGGCGTCCTCAGTTATATGACGGAGAACTAAACAGGAGGGAAATCTCTGGAATGATTCAAACCAAAGGCATAGATGTCTTGCAGCTGATAAAATCAGTCTTTCATAAGTGTGTGGATTAGGTTTGAATTTCAACATGGTGATCTTATATCCGTGCTCCCAGTCTTACTTGCCTTATCTACGAAGTAATAATAGTGCCCTTCTCAGCAGTGGTGTAAAAATTAAATGAGATAGTGCATGTAAATGTGTGGATCAGTGCTTGGAATTTAACAAGTGCTAATAGTAATAGTTTAAAATTAATTGTGATTAGTTAAAAGGGGTATTCTTGTTAATCAGCAACATGTGTAAGACTTAGTTTTTCTTGTTTACGAAGCTGTTTGGGGAAAGGGTGTGAGAGTGGAAAGGAAAGGAAAATGGAAATAGAGGAAGGAGAATGGGAGTCTTCAGAAATTCTAATGCTACCAGCTACTAGAATTGTGAGGATCACAAATGGTCGCAGTGTGAGCAGTGATTGAATCGCTTGGGCCTGGGTCTTGGCAGTCAGTTGGTGGGAGATCTAGAGCAAGAAAGGCACTACCTTTGGCCTCTGCAGAGCCCCATGTCCTTTAATACTGTTTAATACCGTTTTATCACTCTTAACAGCCATCACACTGACATCTTTTTTAAAAATTATTAAAAGGGCATCACACTTGGAGACTATGTTTGGGGAGCGGTGGCTATCCCACTGTCCCTGGGAGCAGATTTTTGAGTAGCAAGGAAGAAAGAAAAGAAAGAAGAAAAAGCTAAATATCGCTGAAGGCCTGGGAGATAATTATCTGAGCCTCAGGAAACCCAGAAGGTGTCAGTCATTATGTCATCCTGAAATTTTCCAGCAGGTAAATTTGATGATCGAAAGAGGCATCTGTTTGTATACAGCACTTCAGTGACAGCATGAGATTATATTTAATATACACACTGTGTTTGAAGTTTCTGTTTTAAGAAGGCGGAGGAATATGTGCTATTAAATAAGATTTCCATCAGAAACAGTTCTAAGAGTTTAATGTTATTCTTAGAACTATTTAGAAAAGGTCTGTTCATCATATATTCTCAACAGCGATTATTAGTGCGGGTATGGTTGCACTTCCAGTGGTAAGCATTCTTCTGGCTGGCCAGTAGTAACACTCTGGGTGGTGGAAGCAGTAGGGTTCATACACTTCTAAAGTGAGATGGATTCTCACTGGTACACTCATTGCTTTGTGTGATTTTTCCTTTTGTGAATTTTGTTTTTAAGTTTATAATCATGAAGGTATTTGTTGTTAAAGCTTAATTTTGGTTTTAAAGGAAATAGTCATCCCTCTGATGATACTCATTTTTGTCTGTTCACACTGCTTGTAAAGTAAAAAAATACATATATTCTCAGGGAGTAACATTATTACCAAATATCACAGACTGTCACAATAGGTAAGCATGTATCAAACATATAATTATATTAGGATTTTAGTAGTTTCGTACATTTGCAGAATTACTGCATTAAACAATTAGAAGGAACCTTCTGATTACTGACCAGCTTTATCTCTGCACAGGTGATGGGGACATTGAGACTGAGGGGTCACGTTATGTGCCCAAAGGCACGGGCCACCTTACTAGCGGATTGCAGGATGGAGTCTGA